AACCCCAAATACCTGGATATCACTAGTGCAGCTGGTGGCATCAACTTATTCAAATGATATTTTCCAAGAGAAACACCTGAGTAGGCCCAGAATTTGAATCATCAAGAAGCGACATATACGATAAGACATCAAAAACATCGTTGAAGAATCTCTCGCCCTCTCTCTCTCTCTCTCTCTCTCTCTCTCTCTCTATTAACACATCTATGCTTTGTACGCAAGCCGATCAACATTTCTGCAGCGCACCAGGCAGCGACTTCATCCTGGACGTGCCGGTCACTGCATCCTTCCGGGCCCCGAAGCTGGCGCTGCCGCTGCCGCTGCCGCTGCCGCTGCCGCTGCCGGCTGGGGAGGCGCGCGAAGCCTCCCGGGCAATCGGATGCGGCACGAGTCCCCGGTGCGCATAAGACGGCGTTTGTTTTGCTTAAAATCAAAGATGGCTTTAGACCCTTTCAGTTCCTAGCTTTGGATCGTGGGAAGAGTTGCTTAGCCAAAAATGTTTTATACACAATAAAAAAAGTATTTTTTTTGCCTGCACCGCCGCAGTGCAGCTAAGTTGCCCCACCCCCAGACAACAAGCGAGTGAAATGTGCAAAAGGATCTTGAGGTGACCAGGTAGCCAGTTTTACAAACGCATCAAGCAGAGTTGTAGATGCGCATCGGCATTTTTGTGGAACCCAATGCTAACAAAGATGGAAATAGCTCAATCGGAATTTGCCGGGGCCTTGACCAGTAGGGCAAGCAAAGTTGCGAAGGGCCCAAATTCAGACCTGGGCTCGGCCTCCCAGATGGTGTGTATAGCCAGGCGACCTCCAGCGCTTTGTCCCAAGCAGAGCCGGAGCCCGAAGTGGAGGCCAGCAATGTGGAAGCTATGGAGGGATTTGGTCCAATTTGGGAATGACTCCTCCGAACATCCTGTGTGGTTGGTTGACCAAGTCCTGGCTTGTTCTTGATTGGGGAATGTGGGAATAGTGACCAGCCATTGATGGCTTCCGAAAAGGAGTGGTTAGAGTCCACAAGAACAAGCCAGAGTCACGATCGTCGAGAACAATGCACGCCAGGTTCGTCGGCCCAGCCTCTTTCGCGCCTCGGTCTGGGAGCGGCTGGCCCAACCGAATGTTCGCTGCCCTGTTCAGAGCTCAAGGGAAACGCATTGGCTGCTGGAGTAGGAGTAAACAGTGAGTGGTTCAGGGACACACACACACACAGAGAGAAGAGGAGCAGTGACGCACCATAATGCTGCCTTGTCAACGGCCTGTTCCCAGCCTCGGCCTTTTTGGCATTTCCCCTGTCGGCCAGCATTTGTTGTCCAGGCTCCGAGGGTTTCCATCCTTGGGCTTTGCCACTTTCAAGGCAGTATCCCAGTGACACGACCGTCCTCTTCTGTAACTCCTCGACACTGTTCCCCAAAAGCTTCCAAGCATCAGCTCTGGCGCACGACGCACCTGGGCGTTTGCAAGAATAGTATTGCTCCCAGAATCTCTCGACCGAGGGATGTTTGTTTTACTGATGTGGATCAGGGCTGGCAACAATGACCAAGGACATAAGCGGCCCATCACAAACCTTCTCTGTCAAAACGGGGGAACTCCAGATTTTTTCTCTGTCCTTGAACCCCAGCCCCAAAAAAGTGAACCTCCAAACAGCCACAGCTCGGGCGGCGTTTCTCAGGCAGCATGTTCTCCCGCCGGCCGATGCTCTCCTCTGCTCCAGAGCAGAGCTTTGGGTCCGTGGGGTCCAGCCGTGACCGCAGCCCCTGAGCGGAAAAGGAAGGGGTCAGAAGGGCCCTTGGTCTTGGGGGTTGCTGTCCCAAAAAGGGATTTCACGTAGAATTGCGTGTTTCCTCCAACTGGCAACATCTTGTTTGGCTGGTTTCGAAGGCCAACAAAGGCGCCAAGGCCTTTTTTTTTTGAGCCCAGAGGGGGCTCTCTATGCCGCAACCAGCTGGGCCAAAGTATGCCCTAGCATGGTGTAGGTGTCAGATGGTGTCATCATCACCGAGGGGAGATGCGGCACTTGCCAGAAGGCATTGGCTCCGAGGACAGTTCGATGAGGAAAAGCAGACTGCTGACGCATAAAGCCGCTTGTGCAATGACTCGGGCCTACAAAGACCTTCACCTTTGCGCGTAGCACAGTTGGGCCAAGTAATTTGGTTATTGCTATTGAGCATTGTTCTGTCCGCCTGGTAAATAATTCCGAACCTGGGGTAGGTGCTTGCTGACCTGTACTAAGCCGATGCACATTGGCGAGCCTCCGTTATGAACAACGCAAAGGTTGTTTAAGAGGCAAACCAAAGGGTAGCTAACCGTGTTTTTGGGGTGCTTTAGTTTGAGACATCCATGCTTTCCCCAGATAGCTGAAAGCTATAGGGGTTCTAACTTCCAATAAAAAAGGGGAGGGGGTGACTCTGAATTCCGGCCGGGTGCTGTTGAGGAGCGCAGGGTTCTGGCGCAAGGTGCTGTGACTCAGAGTTGCGCAGGGTGCTGTTGCAGGGTGCTGCTGCTGGCTGTGGCTCAGATTTCAGAGCAGGTCGTGGCTGAGAGTTGCGCAGGGTGCTGTTGCAGGGCGCTGCAGGTGCTGTTGCATGCCGTAGGCGGGGTATCACAGTTGCAGCGCAGGCAGACATTCCAGGAGGCCCTTGACTCCATCACTCCAGCCCTTGTGGCTCTCCAACACTGCCATGACAAGGGTCGCCAGCCTGACGTTAAAGACACCAGCGTTCCTACCTGAGCAGGGCCCCAGAAAGTCAAGGTTTTGAAGCAGGCCCTAATCTTGAAAGCATGCTGGCGCAGGCAAACAAAACTCGACGACATCTGGGCTGGCATCTTCATCGTGGGCGGCGTGCTGCGTGCAATCAGACGCGTTGCAAGAACCTGAGTTCAGCACGCAACAAAATCGCGCCACGAAGGCCTGCCAATGTCTGACCATGATAAAATCATCTATGAACAAGATGCTCCGGTTGATGAATGAACGCATGTGAACACAATTGTCCCATTTTTAAATAGAGCTCAGACTCAGCCTCGCACCAGGGGGAAGCCTGCTCAGAAAGGACCGTTCTCCAGCCACAAGACGTGATGCTAAGTTTGGCTGGGTATGGTTGGCGTCTGGCGCGGAGGAGCATGGGCGAACCGCATCCCAGCAAAAGGCCAAGCGCCCAGCAAAAATTCGTATCTTCGCCCCGAGCAGCTAATGAGGTCGTGGTGGCTTAATGAACAGCGAGAAGGCCTCGACCCCCCCAGCTTTTCGAACATGGAGGATACCTGACCGAGGGTTCAAAATTCCAATATGGTATTTCCCTCGCTAAGATTCCCGCACGGCGCGCGATCGCGCGATATCGTTTGATCAACGCCAAGGCGCTCCTCCACAGTCAGCGTTGGGCTGCGTCGGAAGCGACAAACGCTGCATAATCTTCAAGGCTTGACATGGTCCTTGCTGCGTGTTGCTGCGACGCCTGCTGCGTGCCGTTGCGTGTGGCGTGCGCAAGTGTAAGTGACCAGTGACAGAGCCAGACTGTCCAAGTGAGTGGCCTCAATTTTTTGTAAACGACCTCACCTCGCTGTTACATCAGCCGGCTCGCCTCGGCTAGTTTATCCAAGTCATTGGACCTTGCTGCACGCAGAGAACTTGCCAAGTGCATGTTGCAAGCTATTTCTTACTTGGCTCAGTTGTCCTACAGGCCCCGCGTTGTCCCACATCTCTTGCGAGATCTCGCTAGCCTGAAGATGTCGTGACATTTCCAGAAAGGCGCCTGCCCTCTCACGCTAGCTGGCTTGCTGTGGCTCTTGCAGGCTCGGCCAGTTTTTGCGTCAGTGCTTGCCTGTGTCAGAACTTGGACATCAAAGCTGGCTGGAACGGCTTGAAGCGCCATTGTGCTGCGAGCTGCCGCGCTGGCTTCGCGAACGCTGTCGTTTCGGTTTCATTGGCCTGGTGCTATGGAAGCGGGAGCGCAACTCGTTGGCAAGCTTTGACTTGTAGTTTTTTTAGAAGAGGGAAATGCTGGGAGGCTTTCCAACTTGGAGTCGGCTTTCTTTTGTTACAGGATAGCGCGGCAGGGACGGACAGTGGCTCAAAGAGTCTCGCGAGGGGCGCGCAGGGATAAAAGCTGCGCTAACTTTCATCGTTTGCACCTGAGCTGTTGCGGCCGGGCAGGAGCGCATGTAAGCGGGCGGGGGGGGGGCGTTGTTTGAGGCAACATGTGGAAACATGGGCAGAAGATGGCCCAAAAAAGTCGGGGCTTCCCACCGTGTTTTATACCTCTTTTTTTCCCCATTTTTTTCGTTTTTTCCTCTTTTTTTTTTTCTTTTTTCTTTCTTGTTTTTCCCGGGTTTTGGTTCCATGATGGCTGACGTCGCCGTCGCCGGAGCGGTGGTTGCAGCGTGGTCCAGCGTGTGGCTTTATCAAAGAAGCATGAGCAAAGCGTGCTGGGGCATTGGCGGGGGCATGCCTTCCGTCAGAGCCGCGTACGTGAAATCGTTGACGGGGAGATCGACTCCAGACCAGTGCCAAGGTTATCTGAGGTAGTGTTTTTTTTCTTCTTATTTTTGTTCTTTTCGGGGGGACACTCTTGGCTGAATTTTCTTTTACGCGTGGACCCCCCCTTAACTTAATGGGTGGTGATGCCTGATGCTCATTTTTCCTGCGTTGCTGCTTTGTTGCCGGAAGCTATTGCTCTGTATTTTGGAGGTAGAATTGCCTGATGCTCATTCGTCCCTGCTTGTTCTGCGTATGTTTTTTTCAGTGACAGGCCCTTGGTACGCTTTGTATGTAGCCGCTGCTTTTGCCCAGCTGTTGGGTAGCAGTTGGCTTCGAACATCACGCATTGGCAGTCGTACTTCGTTTGGGCCGCGTTATTTCCGGAGCCAAGGGAAGCCGCAAACCCACGTAATTGGCTGAGAGCACATTCGATCGATCTGGAGCCTATGCTGGTATAATTCTTTTTTGGGGCTGCCATTTGGGGACCGCACCGCCTGTTTGACGCAGCCCTTCTGCCTGTGCTTCGCGCCGAGGCTCGAGGAGTTCCCCGCAGACGTGGCAATTGTGGCTGGGTCCTCGACGGGTGAGTCTCAAACGAAAGGGGCCATTGGTGAGCTCGTGGCAGAAAGAAACTGATCAATTTGGAAGGGTTTGCTGGCATGGGAAATTTTGCAACATGAGCATATATTGGTCTCATCCAATCTGATTCTGCGCTAACTTCATGTATCTTGGTACTGCGGACTAGTCCGAGTTCATGCTTTGAATCCATTGGTGTTTTCCGCCGGGCCTAACCACGCTGAGTTGCTTATCGGGCTGCCCACTCGAGCAGCATGAATTGCACGTTTGACACATTTGACAATGACCAACAACTTAGGTCGGTCATGCTGTACTGCTCGGCATGATTACCGGCGACAAGGAGTGCCGCGAGAGATGCTCAAATTGTTGCGGTGAGCCGGCCATTGATCATGGCAGTCCGTACAAGTGGCGCGCGCGCCGCGGCGTAACTGTTACCACTTTTGGCACACGCACATTTGACAACTTAACGCTTTGAGGTCAGGGGAGCACCACCACCAACACCCAAATGTTAAGCGTGCCCGCTCAAATGCTTTTAAAGGTCATGGAAACACCACCGCCCAAATGATTAGCACCCCAGCTCAAGGGCTTGTGAAGGGCGATGCCAGCCGGGGGCACCATCTGAATATTGACTGCGGCCCACATGCTGTGCAAGCCCCAGTTTCGCAGGCAATCCTTTACAGCCGTGGTGCCTTCATCGGCCGAGTGCCTTTCGCGTTCAACCGTTTGTTGTTTCGCGAGGAGTGGCTCGAGAATGGTGAGGCGGGCAGCATGGGAGCCGTTGGGCGTGATGTTGATGAGATGGCGTGGTCCGTCGCAGCGCAAAATGACGTTTCGCTGGGAGGGCAGTGATGGATGCAGAGTATGCAAAAGATTTGCCAATTTAACTGTTTGACTGAGATGAGTTGACGGTTAGTGTTGACTACCCGGTCCTGCATCAAGGCAGTATACAGTGTATGCATGCACTGATGTTGGGTTTCAGAGAATGGCGGGGTCAATTCTCAACTGGAGCCACATGCTTGATCCACTCCATACCGCAAATCCAGAGGAGCCCACAAAGTCAAATCACACAATTCAGATCAGCAAGGGATTCCTTCTTCCAAGACTAGGACCATTTTTCAGAAGAAACCTTCCCAAACCTTTCTGTCAGCTTCCGTACAAACGCAACGCACTTCTTCGCTCCAAGACACCGATCATCAGCGCCCTTGCGCGTCAGGTGCGGCTGGGAGCCCAGAGCGTGTGTTGTCCGCGGTGGGGGGCCACGTTTGTTGATGAAGTTTGGGACCGGCCCACGGCGGACCATGGACCACTGTTGCCCTTTGTTGAGCTTTGCTCGACCTTTGGCGGTGGACAGTCACTTAGCATCGAGATCCTCACAAAACTGGAAGGGTGCCAAGCTGTGATCCCACAGTTTCGGTTCTTGTGGGCCATCCCGAACTAGATTTGATGTGTATGCATGGCAAGATCAATGCCTCTTCCAAACGCCCGGTTTCCCTGCAGCTTGGCATCCTGCTGGTTTCCGCCAGGTTCCATCTCAGTTTGGGTTTTGAAAGCTTGACTTCCCAGGTCGCCGTGCCCTTTCACGGCACCTTCAGGTCCTACCACCTGCAGGAGGGCTACTGGAAGCGGCTGGACAAGGTGAGGTTGGCAAAGCCCAAGGCAGGGAGGCCGTGGAGACGGGAATCTACATCGGGCAAGAAACAGCATTCGGAGTTTGAACGGAGGCAATCAGTTTTGGTTGTGCCAAAACCTTCCATGTTCAAGTCGCCGAGAGGAGTTAGTGTGGGCTTCCTCGCTTGGGCAATCACAGGGGTAATTCCGACTTTTGCGACTGCGCCTGGTGGCGCCCTCTTGGATGTCCGGCTTGCATGTTTCTCATTGTAGGGGTGGTGGAAATCAGCATCACTAGGACACGGAAGAGGCCAGTACTCATCGCTTGAAGACTTGCACCGATTGGGGGCTGGGGCAAATCAATGCGCCCCATTCCCTACTCGAGGGATCGAATGGTCAGGGCCAGCAAAGCAAGGGCTACAAGAGTATGAGGAGCAGCCTTGAGTTGGCGGTCCACGTGTCATACTTTCAATGACTTGGAATTGGCAACAAGCAACTTGCACAAAAATCGTGGGCTACCAATGTGAAGCCTTGCGGAAGGCAGATCCGATGCCGACACCCCCACCGGCCAAAGGAGTGGCACATACCGAAAGGTGCAAAACCTGCCCAGTACCCGTGCTTTGCGTGTTCCACCTCTTTTCACCGAAGGTAAATCAAAATTGCTGCGGGCAGCAGAAGGCCCCAAAAGTAAAGCGAGAGCTGCAGGCGCCGCCAGCGCTGATACCCGCTGCAGGCCTGCGCATACCGCCAGTCGTGAGGTCTGGTCAGGCAGCTGGCGTGTTTGTGTGTGTGTGTGTACTTGGACTTGTTGAATGGCACAGCTTCCCATAGATGTAAGTTGCATTCAACTTGCTGCTGGCTTCAGAAGCGTGCTTTATTTGTGCTGGTCCCTCCGGACCTTGCCCGGCGGCATGTGCACGTGCAGCATGGATTCGCCGAGGACCGGCTTGGCAATTCACGCGCATGGTTTGTGCCTCAGACATTTGGGAGGTTTCAGTTGTGCCCACGCATGTGTCCGTGGTGCCGTAGCAAGTCCGACGTTGTCAAAAGGGGTACGAGTCGAGAAGGAGCCTTTCTTGCAATCACACGACCGGGAGCTTGGCTCATTTGTGTGGTTGTGTGCCTTCGGCAGAATATCAGCGGAAACATGTGCCGATGTAGTGCTCGTCCAGGGCAACATCGGAATGCCAGAACCTCATCACAATGCCACGTCTTGTAGCCAGCAAAATGGCGGACTGTTTCACAGTTTCGAGCATGAACTTGCAGACGGCATACCTGCGGAGGGATTGTCGAACAGAGCGGCACTCGGTTGTGCCTCTGTCATTTTTTGCGACCTCCAGAGCCATTTTGCCAACCTCTGAACGTGCCTGTTGCTTTGTATCCTTTCAAGCATTTGACAAGGAGTGCAAGTGTGCTCCTTAAGCCTTTGAGTTTTTTTTGGTTTGGGATGGCGACAGAATCAACCCCTCCATACAGCAAGGGAACATTGGAACCGTGCCCCACACTGAGACGTACCCATCTTGCCCAACTGCTCCGCGGCCGCCCGTAACTCTTCTCGGCCCAAACAGACAGTTTCCGCGAAAAGCAGGGCAGCGGGTCAAGCGGCCTGTGAGCCCTGCTACACCCTCAAAAGGCGCGCGCATTCGCGATGGTTGATCTTCTTCATCATCTCCATCATCCCATCGTAGCCATCATAGCCATCATAGCCGTCTTCTCCTACTTCTGTTGCGAAGGGGGCATGGTACGGTCATCTCCGCAGACGGTGTCACTCATTGAATTTCCATAGATGTCAATCATGGGAGACAATGAATATGGCCCAAGCGAGCAGGAACGATGAATGACATCCACAAAATCTGTTTGGTTGGCGTCTTCCCTGTAGAATGATCGGGCAGTTCATTTGGAGCAAACTGTGCTGCTCGGCATCTTCTACTCGAGAAGCGGGTTCCGAGGGTTCGCCTGTTTTTAGTTGCCTGCTCAAGACCAAATTTCAAAACGATCGCAGGCATCTCTTTGGACCGGCAAGACAACTTGTTGAATGCTTGGACAGTCACGACCGGTAGAACACTGCGGGAGCTGCAGATTTCTAGACAGGGTGCAGGAGCTGCTAGCTTGGATAAAGCAGCCCTTGCCAGTATGAAAGCTTTCTTTCGTGGACCTACCACTTGAGAATCACAAAGCATCCCTCCACAGCTACAGTAGGAAGCTTTAGATCAACCCGTGGACCGCACGCTTGAGCGGGAACCCCAAAGTAGGGGTGAACAAGCAGTAAATCGGGCCGATACGAGCCTGGAATGAGGCTTAAGCGTCATATTTCTGCTTTGGGGTTTGGTCCTGTTTGGTCTGGGGGTTGTAGAGAAAATCTTTGCTGGTTCCCCGTTTCACAACATGACGCCATAGCTCAACACCTGACGTCACATGACGCAGCTGCCGATTTAGCAGGCAATGTGCACACTTCCGCAGAAGACTAGCTCTAGCATGCTGCCTTGTTCATGAACAAGGCAACGTAAACAGCAGAAGATGATTCCGTTGAAGGCCTCGAAAAGTTGAGCGGATGCCCCCCTCCCCCCTGGCTGACAGAGTCAGGTGGGTGACAGCGGCCATGGCGAATGTGACTGTGGTTGAGGCAGGGGCAGAGCCTAGTGATTGCAGAAAGGAGTTGACGATCAAGATGCTACACAGAGAGTCCCGTCCATATGGGGGGCCGACGAACTTCGAAAAAAAGTCCATGGGTCAATCACTGGGATCACATGCCCCCCCCTATTCCTCAACTAGAACTCGCAGGCAATCTTGGAGTGCAGCTGTGTTCAACGGAGCACGCTCTTGGTTCTGATATGCATTTATGCAACATCAGAGACAAGAACAACTGTGTTGATTTCGCATCACCGCTTTTCGTAGAGGAAGTGACATCTCATGGTGGCAACAGAGCAGAGCGAGCGTTCTGAAATCTTTTCACAACTCACATCCTTCCTTTATGGGGCCTTGCCATTGTTCAACGACTCAGTTTGTCCCATCTTGGATTGACAGCTTGCTTGCCAGGGCATGTACCTTCTCCACAAGCTCTTTCAGCAATTGAACCGTTTGATTTAAGGTCTATGTGGTCGGGACATTCGCTTGCCACATCGTTGCAACAAGGACAAGTTTGTCCAGGGCTTCTGTCCGAAGGCACGTTTCTCTGCTCAACCGAAGGGGCGGTCTCAAAACTGAATGAATCAAAAGGGTCGCCCCAATGGTTGTTGTCAATGGTACCTCAGGTCGGAGAATGACTCTCCCCGTCTCCCCCGCTTTCTTGAAAACACAGACGGCCACAGCCGGGTTCGCCTCCAACCGATGCCAGGAGGCCCGAATTTGCGAGCCCGGGGGCTCGGGGCAATGGCTGCCCTTTGGCGGAGATTGGGAGCTGGAGCTCAACCCTCGGGCCGCTTGGCACAGAGCTCTGAGGCGATGCCCGAGGTTTGTGGTGAACTTTGCCTGTTTGCTTTCAATTCCATACTTGAGCGCTTTCGGATTCCCATTGTTTAGGGAATACGCGCATGTTAGCTGATGGTTGCGACCGCTCAACACCTGCTGTCAAGAAGCTGTGGATTGCGTGCTTGATTTGGTGGGTTGGCCTGGTTTTCAAGCTGCCCCGCTTGGATGCAGCGGCTGTGAATGGAAGACAACAAATATAGACCTGGCATGGGGCTTTCTCAGGTCCTCTGCCTTCTAGCGACATGGAGGATAGATTCCCCAAAACCATTACTTTACCTTGCCCCTGTGCGATTCTCTCACCTGAACTTCAAAATCACAATGTTAGCTGACCGATCCCAAGCTAAAAGTCTGTAGCAAAGCAATGAAACCTGCTGAACCTACGCCACAAACAACAGTATATTCATGTGGTGTTTGTAAAGCCGAAGAACAAACACCAGAAACAATCCAACGCCAGTCAACATGTGGGCCGAACCGGCTGCAGAATGTCCAGAATCAATCAGTTCTCCATTGTCACAAGGGTCCCTGCACGTCACCGAGACTTAATGAACTCGCTGGCTTTCTCGGGTGCGTGAGGTGAGGATGGTTCTCTACTTCATCGGCATGATCTACAGCTTTATGGGCGTCAGCATCGAGACTTGCCAGCATTCGGCGCGTGGCTTGTGCCCTTTGAATGGCTTCCAGCCTTTGGTTCAACCGCAACTTTTTCTGTGGGCTGATGAGGTGCTTTTGGGGGAGATGACGGGCCATTGGTGCATGGCACATGATGGCTCATGGCATAATCTTTTGGATGCAAGGGTAGAAGGCCAGGTAGGTAGGTACCAGGGCTTCTGGTCTGCAGTTCATGCTCTCCAGGTGCCATATTGTTGAGGGATGACTTGATTTCTAACGATGTTGCGGAATCAGATCACCTTCGCCAGAGCCCATCACGCGGCATTTTGGCCGAGGGATTTGTTTTTCCTGACCAATCGAACAGGACTGGTGTGCCATTTCTGTCCACAAATGCGAAAAGGAGCCCTTGCTTAGTCAGAGATCATTGATACGAGCGGATGTTGGAGCATGAAGTCTTGCTCAAGACGGGCTCGTTTGAACCGGGGGAGTTGGGTTTCCCGCTTGCCATGGCTGCAGGTGGCCGACCTCTTCATGTCGGCCATTGAGCGTGTCACCAGCGTGCAGAGATGTGTGCAGATCGGCACCTCCAAGAGGCTCGCGGTGATCAAAGCATCGGAACCTCGGACGAGCGGGAGGCTCCAAACGACCTTTCAGAGGGAGCCTTGCTTGGTGAGGTTGGCTCTCCAAATCAAAAGCAGCACGGAATTTGGAATACTTCATATCCAGTGGCTGTTTATAATAATTTGGAGATAGTGCACGGCCAGAACACCGATCTCATAGGTTTCGACCTGAACATCGCACACAATGCAGCCGTCAGGGAACATCGTGGCCGGTTCTGCTTTCGAAGCATTCGTAAAAGCTCTGCTGGACAGATTAGGATTGGAGTTGTGGAAGCAAGTGCGGGCGCTTGGGGAAGCAAGCCAGCGGAATTGTTTTGACCAGTCAGCAGAGCCGCACTCCTGCTTGCCCTGCAAAAAACTTGCATGCACACAAGAGACCGCCTTGAGTCAATCACAATGGATTGCTTTGGTGCGCGCAGGTTCCGGACGTCCCCGGTGGCTTGGCAGGGAGTAGCCAGGTAGCCGACTGGGAGTGTCTTGGAAGCTCTCAGACTTTCTTGCTAATTCAGGACGGAGGCCACAACTTTTCTACGCAAATGCCCCGACACGTTTGCCTTATTGGAGTGCGGGGAAGTAAGATGGCCATGTTGGCTTGCTTTGCGAGGATCGGACGCGTTTGTCACAAGGTTATTCCGTTCTAGTCAACGACTGCGAAAAGCCTCATAGTATGCTGATGGTGAAAAAGGTAGATATCAATCTATGCATTTGCACAGACATTTCCTTTGAGCCAGCTGGGGTCGAGGGTCGAAGGATGTGCGTTTAAACACACATGGCTCGCGAGGTTTGGAATGAGACTGTGGCGACGTTGACGCTGATGGCGCTAGGGCAGCTTGGTGTAAAGGCAGATGCAAGCTGTGAGCTAGATGGATTTGACGGGCGTAGTGGGGGTGCGTGAGTTCGCGCGCAAAGGCTGGCGCAGTTAGTCAAGTTTGTGGGCTAAACTCCAAGTCGACATCAATTCTGTCCTGCATTCAATCTTTACTTGCCTTCATCAAATGCTTTTAGATGCCAGCTGCCGAGAAAATCGTTGGGACCGTCCCAATATTGATTCATGTCACGTTTCCTGTTTGCGGTAGTTCTTTCGAATCGGCACTTCGTTCGCTTGCAATGAATAGACGGACAAGTATGAAGGTTGGGTCATCATCCAATGCCGGAGTTGGGCCACTTCCGGAAAAAGGGATCTGCCGATATTCCTCTCCTGGCGATCCCTGATGTTTGGTTGCCTCGCGGACATCAGGTCATCGGCGCCCGAGATCATGCTTTCGCTGA